TGGCATACATGGTGACCATCTAATGAAATGAAATATCCCCTTCATAACACGAATGGAATTTGAAAATCGATTGTACTATTGTTTAGAACAGAATGGAATGCATTTTGAACATCTGATCAATTAAAATATCCTTATAACACAATTCATTTTATTTTATTCGGCTTTATGTTTTTCGTACACCCTGTAGTTGGTGGGAAAAAAGTCTTGTACAGGTGAATACTACTGACTGAGACCGTTCATTTGAGGTATCACAAAAGAGGTAGTGCCATTTGACATTTCAAAGTTGGGGTGTGTCGCGCCGACGGGGTGACTCATCCCTTCACTGAAATATGGTTGTTCTCATGTTGTTCTAGTTCCCCCTAACTCTTTAGCATTCGTGCCAAACGGCGTTTTTCTAACTTTTTTATTTCGCGAGATATTCGCATTGAAAGTTATCAAATTTACACCCTGTATTTCAGTAAAATACATTGAATTACCTGATGTAGAGAATTAGATTATTTCAAGATTTTTCGCTAATAATTATCAAAATATTGAATGGTAGCATGTAACAATAAATTGAGTTAGTTTGATTGAACCGTCTTTACGGAAAGTTTTAAAGTATTGGAATATAAATATTTCATATACTCAAATCTACTCAGCCCAATAGAATAATCCACTTTGTTAAGAAACAAGAAGTGAATAAATCTTGAATGGATATGCACCTACGAATCATTTATCGTTTTAGATGAAGCAATAGGTATAACATTTATTTATTGCAATTAACGTTGCATGATGCGAAGCAAAATATTACTCTGCTACAGAACACGACAAACCATGATAAACATAGCAATATAGTTGGCTCCATTAATTATTAGATTATGCCAGATACGGTCTCACAATTTACTAGCTTGTTTTAAAGATTTATATGAATTCATGTGGAAACATGTAGTTGAACACCTGTAAGATCATTCTCTTTTCAACTCTTGAATTTTTTTCAAGAAGATAACAAATTTTACTTTATTGAATGAAGAATACAATAAATATTTATGAAATATCATCAAAGGGAAATACATCCCTCCTGTTGATAAAAAAGTACATATATTATGCATCGCCACTGTCTAGAGATTTTGACAATACTGAAGATACACGGGAATCGTTATATTCGAACCAAGCATTCGAATATATTCGGTTCTGTTCTTTCTGATGTAGATGGAACCACTATTGTTAGAAATGTTATAATGGTCGAATCCAACTGGTGATAATATACTGTCAGTCGAGTATAGTGGCTCATGTCCAAACCTTTCAGAAGGAAGTCGAAGATGGCGTTCTGTTACTCTGTGAACCATTTAGTCTGCAAGAAACGTTTCAGATGTAAAACGAGTATTTTAGGTAACTGAATGATTGAACATTTTTGCTTCTTCCTGCACTTCAAACAAGTCGGTTTATCTTCACCGTCCAATGACTCCACGATGGTAAAGAAATTCAAGCAATGTGATAAACTCAGTTTACTCATATTCTGAGGAATTGGTAGTGACAACTCCCAAAAGGGATCGAACGTCACAAAACAATGACCGCAATATGTGCATTTCAATGTCGACTTCAACTGACCAACGAAATTAACGACCATCCCTGAATCGTCAAAGCTCAATAGATTGGACCACGATTTCAATGCTCTGTCGTTATCACTGGAGGACTCGACGATTTCCAACACATTCGGTTTCTTCAGATCTGAAATCCTGTTAACGTCTTCGCACAGCCCTCTCTCAGCAGGAAGCATAAGTACTCATGTGCGTCCTGCTGGGGGAATCCGATGAAGCGAGATGCAAACTTTGGATTTGAGTCATTAGGGATGCTGCGTATCCGAAGAGTCCCCAGATCACAACTGCTTCATCTTTATCACCTTCGCCAACTCATTGAATAATTTCAGTTTCATGCTGGATGTGGTTTCGTTTATAACTGACATGTAGGCATCATTCCTGATAAACTCCAACAGCCACCTGGTTTTTGATAAGCATTGAATGACACTGTTCATATGTTCTTCATTCCTTTGAGGCCCAGCATCTTCGCTGAGGTGACAAGGTCCTGACAATGGGCTTGTGAACTGAAGAATCAACTGTTACCACGTTTGTGATAATTGGAGAACGGCACATAGTCGGGCCATGCTTTCAATAGGTTGAGGTTTGGCGAAGACTGATTTAAAAGAAGTATAGATGAGATTGCTACATCATCATCTAGAATGAATTAATCTCTGACTGTTGCCAGTATTTTTCTCCTAAATGCCGAAATGTCTTTGTAGTCCGGTTAACGCTCAACTTCAGAGCGAACTTTGTACATCATCAGTGCAGGGCAGTCACCAGACGATATTCCATGTTTTGCATGGTATCGGCCAAGAGAGTTGAACACTCGTGGAAATGACTTTCGAGGTTTTTTTGTATCATTATCAACATTTCTTTCCACTTTGAGCATTTAGACTATTGTGTAGTTGAAATAACTCCAGTCGGATAATCAGCCATCTCCATTTTCAGTTTTTGAGTGTTTGTTTCCCATTTCTTCGCAATGGACCAGAGGGTGTCTGAGAGGATAAATACCTATTTGCAGTGATGAGATGAGTACCAAAAGCCTGAAACCATCTGTAGAAGTCAAGCGTTATAACCTTACTACAATGTAGAGACAATTCGGCATTTGGGAAAGACAGACTTGTAACTGTATGATTGTTTTCTTTTGAATAAGAATCGTTGCATAGATTTTGGGAGGATGTAATTCATTGATCTGATGTCCGAGTTATTCGCCAAAAAAACAGCGAATCTTTCGCACCTTTTTCTGTTTTTCGCCCTTAACTTGAAAATTATCGAAAAAGGCACGTCGTAGAAAATTGATGTTGATAAAATGTTATATACAGGGTGATTAAAAATTCGATGTAAATATCTTAAGGACAAATTGATGGAATCAAAATTTGTTTTCTTCTTCATATGAACATGTGTCCAAAAATGCAATCCCTCTGAGCTACAGCTACTGTGAGTTAGGTGGAAAAAAGATTATCTGAAATTGTGACTGAAATAACGCGGATCAAATCTTCTGAAAATTGGCAGGCAGGGAATTGAAGGTGGGTCCACACTTTTATTGGCCAAAATTTCATGTTTAAAAAGAGAAACTCCGACTTTGAATAACATGAACTTGTGGGACTTCAAAAAATTTAAGAATTCGAAATCCTGCATTTTTTCATACAGCTAACCGTTTGCCAGAAAATCGTTATCAAAAGGCGAAGTCATGACATCGTTTTCGAACGCAATTGGTTAAACTGCTATTTCGCAGGTGAGCAGTACTAGAATACTTTAACTTGATCCGTTGTTATGAATACAACTTCCAATCTTTTCTTTTTGCCCAACTTACATGCAGTGACGTGTAGCTCGAAGGGGGTGCAGTTCAGGACACATGTATATATATGAAGAAAAAGTCTTATTTTGATCCCAACATCACGTCTATAATATATTTACAGCAAATTTCAGATCATCCGTATATAATTATTCTTGCTTATGAATTGTAGAACAGGTGAGGAGCATTCTTCGTCGGTTTTTGCAGATATTTCATAATCTACGCATTTCTCGAAGAAACGAACATGAACGAACTATATATACTACCTAATGTGGAAGAATCCTGGTTACGTTAATTCTTGCCTCTGTTGGCTTGGGATTTTCTTGACTGTTGAATTTTCCACCTCAGCGGGCGTCAGAAATAGACCTGCTCTAGGTGAATCAGACTTTGGCGGTTGAATTTTCCACCTCAGCATGCGTCAGAGGTAGACATGTTCAAGTCAAGACTTCGGCGGACTAGTACTTACATTACATGACCATCCCTTTTCGTGGGAACCAGAACATAAAAAAAAAGGTGTTCCGCGTTTTCGGTAACGTTGTGATAAATAGGGCAAATGTCGGTCTCCGCTGCATTTGGCTCTGGTTTGCTGAGACTCAGCTCTTTGGCTTCGTGTTAGGAATAATTGTTTATGACCTTTTTTTGTTATCGTTGACCTATGGAGTTGCTCATCAGAAGGAGAATGTTTCGCTCTCTTTCTATTTCATGAGCTCCAGGAGTAAGTAACATTTTCTGACAAAGGGGCCTAGGCCCAGAAAAGTTAGACTGCATCTTCTTTTGCTAGGCGATCAGCTGCCTCATTCACTGAATTCCCTGGTATACCCACATACGCGGAGATTGATTTCAATACCAATTCATCACAAAATGAATAATCTGATAGTTCGAATAGTTATATTCCGTTTCTCATCCAAATATTTGAAGAATCATTTAGTTAGAATTTTTTCAACTCAATCATAGTTGTTTTTTTCGTCATCTACTATTGTTGTTGCTCGTTTTATTTAACATTTGTAAAATGATTACTTCCACACTGATCTTACACATTTGATGCTTGGCTCATTTGATCGAAGAATTAAAAATTGACCTCCAAGATAGCATAATACTATATTTCACCACTAACCAGGACACTTGTTTCGCCAACTATGCAAACATCTTCAGGAGGAGGGTATACTTCTGAGTTCTTGATTCTTCAGCAACCGTACTCGTAGTGGAGTTCTCAGTTCAGTCGGATTCATAAAACGGCAATTAGAAGAGTGACTCGGAAGAAACTGAACCTCTCAAGTAAATATGAACATAACAGTTTTCAATATTCATTGAGAAATACCAAACTGGTTTCGCAATGTATTATTTACGCGAAATGGATTGTCGAAGGTTGCGAGGGTGAGGCTGTTGGAACTTGAGAGGTTAAATAATCAATGTTCGTTTATGTAAACGGTCAAGCCTATGTACCTACAAGTTTTACCGCAAATAATACTATGCAATTGTTTTATATGAAGTGATTACATGCCCAACCAAGGTACCTTCAAATGTATTCACAATGTGTGTAAACTACCCAATTTTCTCTTTCTCTGATACGAATTTAAATCACATAGTAATAATCAGCCGTCAGGCATCCAAATATGATATAATTGTTCAACACATATTCTTATTTTCAGGTATGGTGAAAAACAAGGATCAGGCAGAAGGAACAGTCAAGTTGAACTCACGCCTATCCAGCTTCTTTCGGCTACAGCATATCAGCTGAAGAAACCATACCAGCAACTACTCATTCCTATCACAGTATGGATTGGTGAGTAAAATGACCAAATAGCGAGATAATTAATGTCTATAAAGCTGAGGGCATAGTATCGTTTCCTCGATCGGAAATGGTAGTTTGTGATGTAATTCTATAAAAAATTATTTCGAGGTCATAGGAATCTACACTCTTTTAATAAGTCCTAGTAGGAATAATTCCATAGTAATCTGGAATGAAACATAAGAAAATTTTAATGAGATTCCTTCACGTTTTCATTTTCTTCATATTGTAAGTACTTCTATTTTTTCGTCATGACTCAGATTGGGAGGTCTATTTGTTTCACTTGTATGATAGGTATTTTGAACAATCATTTGATGATTTCTGGGGTTATACTGTTGAATGCTTCGATGACACTGTACCTTAGTTCTATTTTATTATCAAAGTTATTTGCGTACACAAAGTTTTTGATATGCCCTCAAAGAAAAAAATCCAGCGGTGTCAAATCAGGCGACCGCGCCGGCCAAGGGACTGTAGAATGAGTTCCAATCCATTTTTCGGGAAAGTGTCTGGATTAACACGCACGAACCTTTCTGGAATTATGTTCCGGAGCGCCATCTTGTTGAAACCATCTTCCGCAATCGGTAAATTATCTAGAGCTTCCTCGAGATGATTTTCAAGCTAATTTAACGTCCGGAAGTCAATCTTTCATGGTAAATAAAACAACCAATAATTCGTATACCAAATATTGCAACCCACAATGCCGAAACGGTGTTGGTGTCTGTTTTGTATAAATGTTCATTTTGTCGTGACCATATTCTGAATTTGTATGGATGGAATTTTTATTTCCGCAAAATGAAATGGGTTGTTGAATTTCTCTATGGTCGGATTCTCAGTAACTGCAAGCTATACAGTGTTCACCAAATTTGCCACTAACCTTCTATAAATTGTTTTTTCAGGTTGACTTCTTTCTGGGTACCTATTGAGATACAAACGTTCCGCTTCAACACAATTTCGTTGGCACAGAATGTAGCATGTCAGCATATCGTATTTTTCTTCATTTGAGAAGTTTTCCATCATCAAAAATCGAAATAGAATATGTATTAACACGACTAATCATGACAGTTTCCGAAAACTAAAAACAATTATCAACGTCTAGATACTTTACTAAGTATGATCGGTTTGATGAAACGAATTATTTCATGATTGCAATTGGAAAAACTATTGAAAACATGGAGAAAAAAATGTTCGTGTTTCTCCAAAGGAGCTTGTCATAATTTCAGATCTTTCGAACTAATTATCCATATAAGTCTATCGATTGGAACCAGTTGATGAGGTATTAGTGTGCTGATTAATTTTCCTTCAAAATAAGTAGAACTGATGGCATTTTTCCTTCGAAATTTCGAAACAACAATGACGATGGCATTTTGACCTCAGGAATATGTGCTGAGATTTTGTTCAGACCTTTCGGGGACACCCTACCCTGTATATCCATTTATTCTTTACCATGTTCATAATTTTTCTGAGAACTTTTCTTTACAATAACGTATATTATAATTTACCATAAACTTCACGAAGACATAAAAAACTCAATATAAGATACTTCCCCATTATAATCAAACGTTTCGGTTGTTCGCAGGCATGGAGCAAGCCTTCATCGGCGCCGACTTCACACAGGCGTACGTCTCGTGCGCCCTGGGCATCCCGCAGGTCGGCTACGTCATGATCTGCTTCGGCTGCGTGAACGCCGTCTGCAGCCTGCTGTTCGGCTCGATCATGAAGTACATCGGCAGGGCGCCCATCATGGGCCTGGGCGTGCTGGTGCACGCTGGGCTGCAGACGTGGATGCTGCTGTGGCGGCCGCACCCCAACACGCCCTTCAAGTTCTTCGTGGCGGCGGGGTTGTGGGGCGTGGGCGATGCCGTCTGGCAGACGCAGGTTAACGGTGAGTTTATTTATGTATCTCTAAATTTAGACTTTATTCTTTGAATTCACCTTTTTTCACTCAATTCAGGCTGATTTTCATCTGAATTCAGACTTTTTTCTCTGAATTCAGACTTTATTCTCTAAATTCAGACTTTTTTCTCCGAATTCAGACTTCAAAATATAAATTCAATGCTCTTTTCTCAGACTTTATTCTTTGAATTCAGCATGTTTGCTCAATTCAGACTCATTTTCAACTTTGTTTCTCTGAATTAAGACTTGTTTTTCTGAATTTAGACTTTATTCTCTAAATTCAGACAGTATTCGTTGAAGTCAGACTTTTTCTCTGGATTAAGCAGACTTTTTTCTCTGAATTCGGACTTGTTTTTATTTGAAATCAGACTGTATTCTTTGAATTCAGCTTTCTTTAGTAATTAAACTCATTATCATCTGAATTTAGACTGGTTTCTATGAATTCAAACTTCAGTCTCTGAATTCAGACATTTATCGTTGAGGTCAGACTTCTTCTCTGAATTCAGCAGACTTCATGCTTTGAAGTCAGACTTTTTCTCTGATTTCAGACTTGTTTATATCTGAAATCAGACCTTATTCTGTGAATCCGCCTTTTCTTTTCTCAAATCAGACTAACTTTTATCTGAATTCAAACTTTATTCAAACTTTATTCTCTGAATTCAGACTTCATTCTCTGAACTCAGACTTTATTCGTTCAAGTCAGACTATTTCTCTGGATTCAGCAGACTTCATTCTTTGAAGTCAGACTTTTTTCTCTGAATCCATACTTTTTTCTTTGAATCCAGACTCTTTTCTCTGAATTCTCCCTTGTTTTTATCTGAAATCAGACATTATTCTGCGAATTCAGCTTTTTTTATTAATTCAGACTCATTTTCATCTGAAACAAAACTTGCTTCTCTGAATTCAGACTTTAGTCTCTGGATTCAGACATTTTTCGTTGAGGTCAGACTTTTTCTCTGGATTCAGCAGACTTTAAGCTTTGAAGTCAGACTTTTTCTTTGAATTCAGAGTCTTATCTCTGAATTCAGACTTGTTTTTATCTGAAATCAGACTTTATTCTGTGAATTCGCCTTTTTTTCTCTCAATTTAGTCTCATTGTTATATGAATTCGGAATTAATTCAGACTTCATTCAGACTTCATTCTCTGAATATAGGCTTTATTCTCTGAATTCAGACTTTTTCTCTGTACTTAATTTTCTGAAGTCAGATTTTTTTCCTGAATTTATGCATTATTCTTCGAATCAACACTCTTTTCTCTGAATTCAGACTTGTTTTTATCTAAAATCAGACTTTATTCTTTGAATGCAGCTTTTTTCCTCAAATCGGACTCATTTTCATCTGAATTGAGACTTGTTTCTCTGAATTCAGACTTCAGTCTCTGAATTCAGACATTTTTCGTTGAGGTCAGACTTTTTCTCTGGATTCAGCAGACTTTATGCTTTGGAGTCAGACTTTTTCTCTGATTTTAGACTTATTTCTTCGAATTTAGAGTCTCATCTCTGAATTCAGACTTGTTTTCATCTGAAATCAGACTTCATTCTTCGAATTCAGCTTTTCTGCTCAATTCAGACTCATTTTCAACTTTGTCACTCCGAATTAGGACTTGTTTCTCTGAATTTAGACTATATTCTCTAAATTCAGACTTTATTTGTTGAGTCAGAATCCAGACTCTTTTCTCTGAATTAAGACTTGTTTTTATGCTTCTTTTTAGTAATTCAGACTCATTTTCAGCTGAATTAGGACTTGTTATTTCTCTGAATTCAGAGTTCAGTCTCTGAATTCAGACATTTTTCGTCGAGCTCAGACTTTTCCTCTGGATTCAGCAGACTTTTTGCTTTGACGTCAGACTTTTTCTCTTAATCCAGACATTTTTCGTTTAGGTCAGACTTTTTCTCTGGATTCAGCAGACTTTATGCTTTGAAGTCAGACTTTTTCTCTGAATTCAGACTTATTTCTTTGAATTCAGAGTCTTATCTCTGAATTCAGACTTTTTTTTATCTGAAATCAGACTTTGTTCTGTGAATTCGCCTTTTTTTCTCTCAATTCAGACTTATTTTTATCTGAATTCAGACTCAATTCAGTCTTTATTCAGACTTCATTTTCTGAATTCAGACTCTATTCGCTGAATCCAGACTTTATTCGTTCAAGTCAGACTTTTTCTCTGAATTTAGACTTGATTCTTTGAATTCAGAGTCTTATCTCTGAATTATTACTTGTTTTTATTTAAAATCAGACTTTATTCTGTGAATTCACCTTTTTCTCTCTCAATTCAGACTCATTGTTATATGAATTCAAACTTAATTCAGACCTAATTCAGACTTAATTCAGACTTTATTCAAACTTTATTCTCTGAATTCAGACTTTATTCTCTGAACTCAGACTTTATTCGTTCAAGTCAGACTTTTTTTCTGGACTTCATTCTTTGAAGTCAGACTTTTTTCCTGAATTCATACTTTATTCTTCGAATCCAGACTCTTTTCTCTGATTTCAGACTTGTTTTTATCTAAAATCAGACTGTATTCTTTGAATTCAGCTTTTTTCATTAAATCGGACTCATTTTATCTGAATTGAGACTTGTTTCTCTGAATCCAGACATTTTTCGTCGAGATCAGACTTTTCCTCTGGATCCATCAGACTTCATGCTTTGGAGTCAGACTTTTTCTCTGAATTTAGACTTATTTCTTCGAAGTCATACTTGTTTTTATCTGAAATCAGACTTTATTCTGTGCATTCGCCTTTTTTCTCTCAATTCAGACTCATTTTTATATGAATTCAGACTTTATTCAGACTTTATTCTCTGAATTCAGACTTTATTCTCTGAACTCAGACAGCATTAGTTTAAGTCAGACTTTTTATCTGGATTCAGCAGACTTCATTCTTTGAAGTCAGACTTTTTTCTCTGAATTCATACTTTATTCTCTGAATTCAGACTCTTTCCTCTAAATTCAGACACTTTTCTCTGAATTCAGACTTGTTTTTATCTGAAATCAGACTGTGTCTTTCGAATTCACGTTTTTTTCTTAATCCAGACTCATTTTTATCTGAATTAAGACTTGTTTCTCAGAATTATTCAGACTTTATTCTATGAATCCAGATTTCATTCTCTGAATTCAGACTCTTTCTCCGGATTTAGCAGACTTGATTCTCTGAAGTCTGACTTTCGTCTCTGAATTCAAACTTTTCGAACGCAGCATCATGAAAAGTTATTCGAAGAGATGACTTGAATGTCCTAATGTTAGCAAAGATTTATTATTCCAACTAATTTAGTCGTATTAAAACAATGTTCAATTGTTCTCAATCCACCATGGAAATGAATCGTTTCTAGCGATTTAATGAATGAATAAAATAATACTCCTGATAATTACTGTGATAAGTATCATTATCATTGGCTCAGAATTTGATCACCACCATTGTTCGTGAACAACAAACAGATTACATATATGATCCCATAGCGGATAAATCAACATAATGGACGGTTGTAACTATTAAAATTCAGATAGGAAAATCCGCACAGCCATCAATATTCATAGGGAACAATTTTAATTCGCTATAACTATTATCGAGTTAGTCATCAGCTTCACCTGATCATTTAGTCATGTTTATTCAACTATGTAATGATTGAGTAGCCGATCGATATGTGTTGTGAATTGGCTATAGTATATCACCATTCATCTCTTACCAAAAGTTTGCATGAACCTAAAGGAGCAAATTTGAGATAAACTTGACATGCACAAATGCACAAGATCAGAGGATTGATCTATTAACATGGATGCAAATGCCCTGGCCAAAATTTCAAATGCCAAATGGGGCAACAAAATTGCAGTACCTTATACCGGGTGACACAGGCTATCGGGCCACCCCTGTAACTTCTGCATTCGTCAACGGATTTCTCTGAAATTCGGTACAGTTATATAAGCAACTATTTCGGATTTGATCACATTTCAATCCAATATGGCGGACTTCCGGTTTTTCTGGAAATGCCAGCAATTTTGTTTTTTCAAATGGAACACCCTGTATATTTTTACATATTCAAGTTTAACAGGTCAAAACAAGTGCAATATTGATGTCAAATGTCATTTATTCCACAGCCTACCTAGTTGAAAAATTATTCTAACTGCAAGGAAATTCATAAAGTAGTTGTTGATTTTTGAATGTATACAATTTGTTACTGCACCGAAAAACAAAAATGATATTTCATTTTGTTCCTTATTGTATGTTCTAGAGAAACGGGTAGGTGGCCCATAGGGGTTCCATTTAAAAAAAAATAATTTTTGATCAAAAAGTGATGTGGCTGAATTGATTCCTGGATAAGTGACACAAAAAATAATTTTTCAGAAGAAATTATGTTCTTCTGTTATGTGTGACTCATTGTGAATAGTCTTGACCACATCTCATTTATCCACGAGGTAGAATGAAAAAACAATCTTAATTTAATTTTTTTCGAAAAAATTACATTTGAAATAAAGATTGCACTTGTTTCGACCTGTTGAACTTGAATATGTAAAAATATACAGGGTGTTTCATTTGAAAAAACAAAGTTGCTGGCATTTCCAGAAATACCGGAAGTCCGCCATATTGGATTGCAATGTGATCAAATCCGAAATAATTGCTTATATAACTGTGCCGAATTTCAGAAAAATCCGATGACGAAAGCAGAAGTTACAGGGGTGGCCCGATACCCTGTGTCACCCGGTATATTATGTTTCAATATCTGGTCAAATGATAGTAGCTAAGAGACGAATAGAAAATATTTTGGTCCAAAAATAGGTTTTCATAAAAAAATCATACAATTTAATCATCCCTTTTGAATCATTTCATTCCTGTAATGATTAGCTATAACCTCTTTCGTATTTATTATATTATCATTATTTCGAAGTCCTTCAGAGTAATATAAAAGTCATAGAAAATATTGTCCAACTTCCATTATGAACAATAAATATGAAGCCTATGGCGATGACGTTGATATAAACACTAATTATTATCAATCAC